GAGATAATAGTTGTACTATCTGAACTTTTAATTCTGGATTATTATGAACGTATTTTTCTCTTCTTGTTTTGCTTAAGACACCAATAACCCTCATACCAGGTATGTAAAGACACCTGGGCATACAGCTCCATCAACTGTGCAAAGTGTTGATTTCTGTGCTGGACTCTCTGAGGTCTTGCATATTTAAAAATACTTTCACCACTTCTTTTCATGCCAATGGCCATAAAATTTTAGGTTTAAAGTTATTTTTTCTTTGATGAACTTAAAATATTAGTCCAGTTATTCTCAAATTGCATACTACTGCTGAACGGGTGTGTGATTCCTCCTTACAAGATCTGCCTGTGTCTTGCTTTAAACCCTTCATTAGGAGAACCCACAGAGAAGAGACCATAGCAGACTGGCCCATTGGTCCCCTTAAGTATGTAGCAGTTACTCAATAAATACATTTCATTTTGGGGTATGTATCAATAACTGACTAAACCTTGTGTCCTAGTTCATGAGCCTCTTCCTAACATAATTTTATTGAAAGTTTCATTAATTTCTGATGCAACAACATATTCATATATGAATGCATATGTATGGATAAGATAATTTAGAATTCAAGAGAAACTGTGTAGTAGAATGGCAGAAGGAATTCTAAAATGTTTAGGATGAAAATATACAGGAGGAAAAAATAACCCACAATTAGTTAGGCACCATAACATTTCCATCCTCTTATGGGGGTGTCTATCAAGGCTAATGTCAAAAACTAACGTCTGAAACTTGAATAACAATTTGTAAATTAATGAACAAGGGCCCTGTTTGCACAGTGGGCGATGCTATGTGGGAACTAGCCCCAAACCTTGGTCAACAGTGCCTTTGTATGGTCACAGAGCAAAGTTCACACTTCAACTCATGGAAAATGGCTTATAAGAGAAAGTGTGCTGTTCATCTTTGTATCCTGACAGTGCCTGAAAATGTAAAGTCAAATGATACTTGCCAAGATGGGGGTCACTACTTAAATGGATATTGACTTACTTAAAAATAAGCCACCTTGCAAGTTGATCTCACACACAATTGTTCCTCATTATGAAGTGAAGGTAAAATTCTTTGACCTGGGATGTAATCCCTTCACAGCTGTCTTTTATTCCCTGGTTTCCTTTCCTATTCATTTTATTTATCTGTCTGTCAGATTGAAATTCCTGGCTTCATAATACCATTATGACCATTTAAAATTCCCTGTGTCTTCTTCCTTGCATTCCAAGTTATATATTGCTTGCTTTCTTTACTAGGTTGTAAGTTCCTTATTTCAGAGACCATACCTTTTATGTATACTACATTTTCATTATCTAGCACAGAGCCTGACATGTGGTGAGTGTTAAGCAGTAGAGAAGGAATAGAAAGTCTGTAGCAAGGAGCTGACACATGATGACCCATGAAGATGAACTTTTGTAGGAGAGGTCTTCACAACCATTGAGAGCCATGGTCCAGTGGGAGAACATTAGAAGAGACAGAGCATCAGGACCAGAGGTAGCACGAAGAGGCCTTGAAAACTTCTCTTCAAGAGGAGCTACATTAGGAGAAATACCACAGAGACCCTGAAGGGATAAACATATCCTTCAGTTCTAAAAACAAAGGGAGTTTCTGACTCTTCTATTTTCAGGGGGTAGAGGCATAGGCAAACTTTACACCATATGAAGGCTGGTCTACAAGTCAAGGGTACTGGGGCAGGATTAGGACTAGGTAGGACCATAAACTTAGCTAGTAGCTGCAGGCCATAGCACAGCTTCTTTCTTACCAACTCTGCATTCCAGAAAGATATATATATATATATATATATATATATATATATATATATATATATATATATATATATATATATATGCCACAAGGGGGCTGGGCCAGGTTTCTAGGAGGGGGAGGGGCTGCTAGTAGATCTGTGACCTAACAGCATAACAGCATGTATTAAAAGCATGTTGAAGGATTTACCATGAATGAAAAATCCTAGTAAAGCTCAGACTGGAAGCTACCTTTTTACAAGCCACAGTAGAAGAAAAGCAATCCTCTTAATATATATTCTCTCTATGCTAGTTGTCTTAAAATGTAAGAGGTCAGAAGAAATTCCTTGGAGATGTGTTTTTACAATGTAAATTCGTGGTGTTAACCTGTGACCTACGGACTTGAAGAAAGTGGAAGACCATCTCAAAGGTCTGTAGGAAGTGCCTGATCTGAGCAGGCAGGAAAGAGGACGGGGAAGCAGCTGGCAGAAAACACCAGTGCATTCCCAACCACAGGTCGCTTCAAACCCTGACCTGCCCATAGTCACCTCGGAGGCTTCTCTTCACATCTACCATCCAGCTTTTGAAACCACGGGGCACTTAGTGTTTATTTGAAATTCTGTTCACTTAAATGTATAGAGAAAAAATAATTCTTTTTCTTGAAATACTTTTAAGATATGTATAATGCTTCAAAATGTACAATATATAGGCTAAACTTCAGACACTTTTTGTCCAATAAAGCTCTTTGAAAAGAAAATGTTACCAAACATTAGGTATTGAGAAAAGCGGACCCTGGTATGAAACGTTAAGGCTCTGAGGGAACCATCTTGCTCGCTTTAGACTATTGCAAACAGAGGACATGAATTACAGCAAGGGAGACTTCAAGTGTGAGGAAGAAACAACTCATGCCTTTCAGAAGCTTGCAAAATGCCAGCATTCTAAATTTCAAGCTCTTAGGAGAGTCCAATATAGTACACAATATCTGTCACTTTTTATCCACTTGGCAAAGACTTCAGAGAGACAAATGTTAGAAGCTTGAAAATGGAGACTTCTGGATAAATGACCAAAGCCAGAAATAAAGCTGAACTAATTAGAAAACAAATAATTAAATGGCCAAACCCGAATGTTGTGTGATGCTGAAAAGAAATTTCTAAAGCATGCCATCTGTTTTACAACTTTGTATTTTCCTGTACCACAGATCTACTCTGTACTTTTTACAATGATCTTGCTGCTAGGCCAGAAATAATTACAGCACAGAATCCTAGAAAAGATCAAAATAGTTACAGAAGAGGGCAGATATATTACATGCTTGAGAGAAAACTATGTTTCAACCTTAAAGAAAAGAATTGTTATACAAAGAAATGGTTCAAAATCGTAAAAAAGAAAATTAGAGAATTTTAAAACTGATACTACAATATATTTATGATATCTAAACTTATCTGGGCCTCTCCTGGACATTGTAGTGTTAAAAGCATGTTGTAAGGCCTCTTCTGTCTTTTCTTGGTTCCTAATTTATCTCTAGAGCCTGGTGGTTTTACATGGTATCTATGTACTCATAGTTTATTGCTCCAGTTCCAGACTCATATCTATTTATCTATTTGATGTGTCTACTTGCCTAGCACATAGCATTTTAAACTTATCACAACTAATTCAGAGCTCTTGACTCATCACCCATGTCCAACAGGGAGCATCTACTCTTCCATAACTGTCCACATCTTAATAAGTGGAACCACTGTTCAACCAGTGGGAGCAAAATCTAGATTTCATTCAGTGTTTCTCCCATGCCTTTACTATTCATGTGATCCATCATCAAATTCTGTGGTTCACATTTCCTCACCCCCCTCTGCGTCTCCATCTTTTTCTTCAGTGCTCAAGCTCAAACCCAGGGTTTTGGCATGCTATACAAATACCCTACTGCTCAACTATATCCACAGCTCTCTCATTCACACTTCTAAATGCTGTATCTCACATATGTTTTCTTTGCCTCTACCATCTCTAAACCGCCACAACCTCTCAGAAGTGGTACCCCAATATTTATCAAATTCTATATCTCTAAGTCATTGCCCACCAAATGCCTGTAATGACTTTAAAAATATAACAACACAAATAATTTTCATTTCAAACATAATTTTATTTGTGTCCTTGGTACCTAAAACAGCATATAGCTAAATATATATTTAATTTTTAGTGAGCAGTGTTAATAATGATCTCATGTAATGCTAGTAATTTCTAGTATCAAATCTCATACTTTCCTTGTGATTTCTATGGACCTAATAACAATGAATTGTTCACTCAAAAGAAATCACTCATTATTGATAATTGTAATAACTAGTATTAGGCTTGCTTGCATATCCCAAAGTACTGTAAAGATAAAAGAAATTTACTTTCTGCTAAAACAAAAAGTTCTGGAATAGATTGGCATGGTGACTTTGTGAACTATATGCCATGGTACCATGTATATTATTGTTGTTTGCCAATTCCAGTTTCAGTTCTGCTTTGTTGTCCAGCATGGATACTCAATTACCAGCCATCACATTCCAAGTCACCAGGAAAGAGGAAAGACATGAAGAATGCTATGCCTGCTCCATTTAGGAGGAGACTGCACAGTTCTTCACATCTCACTAGCTGTCAATGGTGACTAACACTATTGGGAAAGACACACTTAACTGGATAGCAATGTTTCCAGTTAAAGATCCAATAGCAGCCTCACCCGAGTTCCAGCTGTGACTGGGCCCTGTTCTGGCATAGGGATGCAGAGGCCAAAGTGTCTGCACAAAGGTTTGTAGTCTAATGGTGGAGAGCAACATGCAAATAAATAAAGACTAAATATTTCAGTCTAAGTAATGAAGACCATTAGGGAGCACGTCCTGCAAGGTCCCTCAAAGATTCTCTATACTTAAAGAGCTGAGTGAGCTAGAACTTGTTCAAGAGGTCCACATCTGGAACCTGTCCCAACTGCTTCATCTGCATCAATTTCATAAGATATTTCTCAATTCTGTTCTACTGGACATGAAGCCTCTGTGACAGAGAACAAAGTTCATTTGAATGTCTATAAATACATATAAGCAACTGTGGTGACAGTTGGAAACATTTGGAACTGCCCATTTCAGAAATGTGTCAAGACTCACTACTCCTTTTTAAATTGTCAGAAGATGGAACTAATTGACTTCTTCAAGACTACAAGACCATGTAAAATGAGTGATGTCAGAAAGAAAGTTTTTGAAAAGGAGCACTGTAACTTACTGTTAACCACTGGTTATCTAGAAGTTCCTTAGCTGTGATTCTGTGAGCAGGGTCTACTTTCATAAGTTGCTTCAAAACATTTTTTGCTGCAAACAGAGGGGAGAAAACCTTGAAATTTTATTTCTCTTAACCTCAGTTAATGTCACACATCAGCTGGACATGGTGATCCAGCTACTTGAGAGGCTGAGACAGAAGTATTGTTTGAGCACACAAATTTGAGACAAGCCAAAAAAATTGAGACAACTCAGAGAGAGACACCACCCCCAACACTGCTAACAAAAACAAGGCAAAACAAAAATTATTCATTTCCCATTTACTTAGATTATGACTGCATAATACAAAGGATGCTAAATATTACCAATATGAAAGTCTAATAAATAGAATTGAATGTCTTCTATTGCTGGGTTAATGATTTATAGTGAAAACTGTGTATCCAAAAGCAAGCTTTCACTTTAATTTTTTAATTGGTATTTTTTGCTTTGCTTTGTTTTTTTTCTGGAAGTTTTGACCATCACAATCACAGTGAAGATATCACTATTTCCATGAACAAGTATCATTTAATCTAAAGTAGATTCTATGATTAACCAGAGACTTACAAAAGTTTTATTAGTGGTCAATTTCCTTATATTAATTGTTTACTTTAGTAAATAATACAAATCCATACTCACCAGAATCACTTACGGAATCCCAGACTGGGTCTTCAAATCCTAGTTCTCCCTTTCGTATTACTTCAAAGAGCTTTTCCTCCGAGTTTGCCAAAAAGGGTGGTTCTCCACACAGCCTAAACAAAGGCAGTCATTTGCTGATATGTTTTCAACATAAGAATTTTAAAAACTGACTTTCTGCAGGACTTGGAGCAGTGATGCTTTGTAGGTAAGTAACAGACAGAAAAAAGAGAGAGTGGAAGCAATAGGGCCATCAGGCTCAGTCTGGTCTCATCTCAGGGCATGCTATGCACTGAGACCTCAGAGCTGCAAATGCCCCAAGGCTTCTGTGGGTGGGGAGACACTAGGGTTAAGGGTTACAATGCAGGAAGGTATTTGAGGGTTGAGTACATAGTCACAGGGACATGAGCAAAGGGAGGTTGCCCCTTACATGCATACTATACCCTGGATTATTAGAGCACATAAAAGGTTATCAGAGACTGTCCACACTCATAAGAGTTTAATGGTCAGGCAACAGTTTTGTCTGTGGTAAATACTATATCAAATGTTAGTAATGCTAACAGTAAAATAAAACAAAACCAAAGAATAACCCTGGGAATTTCTGCAAGTTCTGAGCCAAAGCTGAAAGGGATTAAAACAGACACAATTGTGTCTTCAACAATAGTATTCAAAGGACAGATACTGGGTAAACACAAAGCCAACAGCAGAACAGTCCAAGCACCAAGAACCTAGGGGTAAGCAAACCTGGGTCTGCCTGTATCTATAACACATGGACTATTTCATTGGCTTCTTTTTAGCAGAGCTGGGAGCAAGCCAACCAAGCTGAGTCTGTTAGCTGACCTAGGCCAGAACTATAATGGTTGAGTTCAGTGGCTCTGGGTACATTCTCAGTAAATGTTAACATAAACATCAGCAACAACCCCAACATCTAAGGACAACCCTGAAGACAACCAGCAAGTATGTCCATTGACACCCAGGCAGAAGGTGACACAGCAAAAGCAACTTGACAGATCAATGCCTCAACTCTTCCAGACCTTCCACCTTTACTAAAAAACAAAAATGGCATTATTCCATTATACTTGCCAAGGTACAGTCTACTTCAGTATAATAAAGCCTAAGTCTTCTACATTTTACATTTTTACCTACTTTCTTCAGTTATATTTTCTAAGTTTTATTTTTAAAATCCAATTGTGAATATTTTCTGATCAAGCTAAAATTTGGTACTTTATGACAATGATGATGAAAATGAAGAACTTTGCCAGCAGCCAAGGACATAGTCTGGAGCAGAGAGCTTCTCCTGCAAAAGCTTCGTGTTAGGGGATCAGTAGTTGACAAGCTGTTATACAAATTCTTACTTTAATACTTTTTATTTCTCAAGCTCATTCTGACACTTCTTTCTTCTTACTTGGTTTACTATTGCTTAGTTTTAAAATGAAATTTTAAAAGACATAGAATACAAAAAGAAAATAACCAGAAAAATGGTTGTATGGACACTTACTATCTATTATAACAAGTACAGGCCAGCTAAGGCCCAGCTCATTGAGCCTGTTATCAAGCAGTGATATGCATGGCCTCCAATCTCTTAGCAGCATCTGAAAGCAACTATAGCTTAAGGGCTACAGTTTAAATTTTCCACTTTTTTCCTGTCCTTTGCAATTTTATTTACACAAAATGCATCTAATGGTTGGTCAATCAACAGCACATGGAGCTTTATGACAGCAATTTCCCAGCACATCCAGAAAAGGGAATCCAGGACATGAAAAATTCCTCTTAAAGCTTCCTATTATTTTCTGTTGCATTAATAGGAATTAGGATAGGAGCAATAGAGAGTATTTATTTATGCTAATTTCACCTTCAGAAAGTATGTTATCATTGTCCAATTAAGTAGAAATGAATCTGAGTTAACTGATAAACAAGGAAGTAGCTTGCATGGAGAAGACAATGTGCTGTGCTCAGAGTGAAGGGAATTGTCTATAGTGCCACAGGGCTCCAACAGATTAATGAGTAGGCACTGGTGAGCTAAGTGAGGGTCTTCTGTGAAGAACGGAAGAAGCCATTACATTGATGCGCAACCATACTCTGGAGCAGAAACATTCAAATTAAATAGTTAAGAAAGAGGAAAAAAATGAAAGGTAGGTAATACACTTGCTTTCCTTAACAGCAAATTCAAAAAGTAACAAACACCATATGGATTGTGTGATGATTCATTATGCAAATTAATATGGACTTTTGTAGACAGTCTTAAGAGTATGAAAGATTTATTTAAATAGTTACATGTTAATTAAAGACTAAACTCGTGACTTTTGCCCCATGATTCTAATCAGCACAAAGCTTTATGAATCCATTCATACTTCATGCTGTCTAAGCAACGACGAATGTGTACCAACCCAGTTACAGCTGCCATCACATCATCTGACTTCTACTGCCCGAGAAAATGAAACTACAGTGATGCTAGTGTTTAGACACACTATTGAAGAGGCAGCGCACAGCAACATGACCATAAAACTAATGTTGCATTGACATCAAAGTGTTCATATTCACTCAAAGACAGAACAATGGTCACTAACTTTTTAGAACACCTCTTAGAAAACTCACTTAATTCAATTTCACAAGTGTAATGAACACTGAATATGTGGACTGATTGTTGTATCGGATGCCAGGGATGCAGAGATGAATAATTTGAACTGTCTTTCGCAGAATTTAAAACAGGGAAAATAGATATGATAAATAGAATGTTATAATATCTACATGTAAGTTGGCTTGTAAAGTGTTATTATTCACTGGGTGATGGTGGTACACACCTCCCACCAGTGCTTGGGAGGTAGAGGCAGGCTGATCTCTGTGGGTCCAAGCCCACAGGCTGTTACACACAGAAACCCTGTCTTGAAAAAAAAAGTTGTTATTGCTCATACATCACAATGAGTGCTATCAAAATACATATGTGTAAACAAAACTTAATGTTAAATGTTTCTATATTAGAATTGTTATTGTTACATCATGACAGTTTCATGTAGCCTGGAGCAGACTATGTAGACAAGGGTGACCTGTAAGTTCTGCTCCCCCTGCCTCCATTTCCCTAGTACTGAAATTGAAGGCTTGAACCATCACACCTGGCATATGCAGTGCTGGGGATCAAAGCAGGTATTCCTGTGTGCTGGGCAGGTAGTTTATTAACTAGACTAATATCCCAGCCATATTCTTGTATTTGAGTGTTACTATTTTGCATGATTTTAAAATGATGACTTAAATCATCTGTAAAATGCAGAAAAGGTTTATATATAATAAATATATATCTCCTGTGGTAAGGTAGGAGTTAGGAAAATATAAAGATTTGGTGTCTGCCCAAACTAGAAGAAAAGTTCACAGAGAAAAAAACAGTCAGCACTCATGGCACACACACACACAGTTGCACACACAGTTGCACACATACAATGCAGAACCTGAGTTGAGAGTAACCTGGAGTCATCACAGAGAAAGGCAGGCACATGAAAACACACACACCGCCCAAGCCTGGCAAAGCAAGCTAGAGTGAGGTTGGGAATGATCTGCCAAGTCGCACCATGTCAGATGAGCTGATAATTTTATAGAGCAATTATTAGAGGGCTTTAGTCTAGAAAGAGGGTGCTGCAGATGACAATCCTGCAAGCAATGCACAGAGCAGGTGAAGTGGGGGATGAACAGAAACAGGAAAGCAGCCACAAAGACCCTGAAATGATAAGGTCGAAGAGAGGATAGGTCCTCACCATGGACAGGTGAGAACACTTCACAGGCAAACTTTCCAGAACTTAGGATTTGACTGAATCCTGAGAGCAAGAGGGAAGGGAAGAGCAACAATTACTGAGGCTCTCATGGTGTTCAGGGAACTGGGAAATACAAAACAGTCCCTAAATCCTGAAGCAACCTCTACCTAACTGTGCCCACTCCCCGCTGTGCCTGTAGGTGAGGGCAGCTCTAGGGCAGGGAGCCCTACTTTCCTATCCCTGGTGGGCTATGGGGGAAGCTCTAAGCTGCGGCAAGGGACCTGGAAAGACAGATTTTCACTTAACTTGGATTATGTGGTACGCTCTTGCATTTGTAGATCAGTGGAAAGCAAAACTAAACATTGTGAATGTGCAGCACTAACTAAATACTTAGGAGATGATCTGGAAACCTAGTCAGAGAGCACTCAGAACAGTATCCCAATTGGATTTTAACTGACACCTTTTAAAAATACACTGTTTAGTTTTAATTTAAAATCTATATCAATCTACAGCCAGTGACTTCCATTTTACTTATACAGGAAATTCAGTAGGCTACTTACAAAAGGTACATTATAACACCTATGCTCCAAATGTCACACTGCTGGCTGTACTCATGGGCATTGATAACCTCTGGTGCTGCCAAATAAGCAGAAATAAAATAATATTAATAATACAATAAATGACTTTCAATTGCTTAAATACAAAACATGAAAAATGTGTTGATGTGTTGTAATTTATTCCTCCAGAGGGAAAAAAAGAGCCAACAGCAGATGCTGAATGAATAATGTACAGGCCTTCCAACTGATGTCACCAAATCCTCACTCCTATCAATTAGTTCCTAATGGGACAATGGCATAAACTGCATTGCTAAATGTGCAGTTCATTATTCCTGTAAAATTAATAAGTGACTTTACAAAGGTTGTGTAGTTATAATAGAAGACAATAAAACCTTAGACTTTGCCTCAAATAGAAGGAAACATACCACTTAAGTAAATATTATTTAAATCAAGGCCAATATGTATAAATCTGAATTCATAGAAAAGCTACTTTTGTGGTTATGAATCACTTCAGTAGAATAATGATAATAATAATTACCATAGTACTATAATGACAGAACATATATTATTTCTCACATTTTCTAAGTAAGAAAACTGAGAAAGCACACTCACATAAGACTGGTCAAAGAACCAATGAGTCCCAGTGCAGGATGAGGTTCCAATGTGACTCAATTCTGTGCTCTCTGATTGACAAAGGTGTTCACAACAGGTCCCCTCAAACAGCCTCTCAAGGCAGCACCGTGCCCTTAACCTTAAGATGGCACATGCTTTAAAGATGAGCTTTGAGTGCTTTGTTTTATAACAGCTGACTTCTTAAAAAGCCAATATGATACCAAGGAATAGCTCTACTTTACTTTTACACATATAGATATCTTTCTTTAAAGAAAACATCACAAAAACAAAAATAAGATTCATATACAGATTTCAAAAGAACTTTAAAATTGGCAAAGTGATTTTGAGTAATAAATTGCATTCAGAATCCTATGAGCCAGTTGTGAAGGCACTTGATGCCCTGTCAATGAAGATGAAACCATGGAGACTTGACTGTAGTTGCACACTCTAGAGTGTTTCCTATGGGAAAGCTGTGTGCTTATCAAGAAAGCATTCCCAGTCTTCTCCACTAACACACTGGCCATGTGCATGTATCCCCTCACACGTGAGTGCACCCACGTGAGCTTATGCATGTGAACACACACACACACACGCACACACGCACACACGCACTCACTCTCTCTCTATCTCTCTCTCTCTTATAACAACTACTAAAAACAAATAGAATTTTATTTCCCCACTCTCTATATTAAAGAAATGGAAAACAACAAAAAGAAGCCAAAAGATACATAGGAGAATGAGAAAGAGCTAAACTATAACAGTTCACAAATTGGATACTTTGTCTCCAAATAATTGAAAATTTACAGCATTCCTCTTTTTGCAATTATTGTGTGTGTGCAGTCTTTAGCTGCATGTAAAACTTTAAATACAGGACCATCAAAGCACAAGTTGTTCCATGGCCATGTGTCTATCATGAAGGCAAATTCTGAGGTGAGATTTAGTGAAGGCTGCCTTACGGCTGTACCACACAGCAGGCACTAAAACTCCTGGCCTCCACTTTTTCAGTCTTCCTAATTATCAGGGGCATTTCTACTTGCACTGTCATCCCAGCCCTCAGGGAGGCAGAATCCAGCATATCTGTGCCAAGGAGCCATTTAGGAAGTCAGCAAAGCTCCACAAACCATCTGTCTTCCCTCTTGTTCTCTCACTTGTTATCAGTGTAGACAACTAATAAGCAGGCATAAAACTCAGGGTGCTTGGATATATTTTCCCCATGTAACTACAGACCAGATGTCTTTTGCCAATGGGAAGATATGAACAGAATCTAAAGTAGCCTTTTCCCAAGTAAAACTATTTAAAAAACTTTATGCATCAAGTAGGCAAAAAAGCAATGAACAAAGTATACTTTTCAGCAATGCAAACAGATAAACTACTGATACAACAACATGTATAAAATAGCAAAACTGTTCTGTGGAACAGAAGACACAAATAAGTATACACTGTATGATACAAGCACAACTGAATTTAGTGATGGAACGCACTGGTAATCACTGGAATACAAGAGGGGAACTGGTAGAGAAAGACAGATGACAAAGATGACAAAGTGCTATGGTCTCATTGGCATGGTGATTATATAAATCAGAGTTCACTGAGTAGACTATGGCAATCCTCCTGTCTCAGCCTCCCGAATGCTGGGGTCATAGGTATTGGCTACAACCTCTTGCAGGTGTTCTTCTTTTCAAGTTTTCTCACTTACCCATATAGATAGGAGTGCCACACGTGGTCTGCATCATACCTTCACTCCTGGAGCCATGCTTCTTGACCGCCAAGCCAAAATCAGTCACCTGAGAGCAGATACACAGCTGTCACTCAGTGACTTCCATCTATTGTAACTGCATTTAATCCTCACTTGCTGGGGACAGGCTTTTCCCTGTATTACTAATAAAGACTTGACTTTCCCTCTCTGCTCAAACTCTCTGGGTGCAGAGAAACTTGGTGGCAAGAACCAGGATGTTGACTGTTCATGCCTTTTGTTAATTCTTCTTGGTAAAGATTTTTATAAGTTCTTTCATTGCAAAATACAGCCTAGCCTTGGAATGCGTTATCTATTTTTCTGATGCTGGAGTTACGGTTCAGCAAAAGCACTGTTTAAATAAAAATAGTTATCCTTATCAACACTTACCAAGACTCCTTTTTAACATGTAAACTAGTAAATACTTGTTTTTCATTATTATTATGTCCTTTGTGAGTATCAAGTATACTACAATTGCTACACTATTTAAAATGAAGCAAACTGGCAAAGACAAAAAGGCCACACCAACATGGCCTGGTCACAGATGACCTGAAGGCTTTTTGTTGCAACTTAAGTCTCTTGCTCCATTCTAAGTCTTGGTAATTAAACCTTCAGTTACTAAGTATCTGGCATGTACTCTTTGGTTGTCTCTCAAAATGGAATGCCCTTAGACCCAAAGCAGAAACAAAGGCACATTTATGGGTCATACAAGCAAAGCATAAGTTTTTTGTTCACACTAAATGCAAATTCTCAGTACCTTACAAAGTATAAGGAAATGTTCCTAATTAACATGTGACGTTACCAAACCCATCTCTTTTTCTTTTATACAGAGTCTCACTCTGCAGCCCAGGCCAACCTAAAACACAATATGTAGCCTGGCTTGCCTTAAACTCATGGCAATCCTGTTTCAGCATCTCCTGTGCTGGGAATACAAGTGTCCATCAACATGCCTTGGATCAATTACTCCAGGACTTTCCATAAATAGCCCACTTGGAGCTTAAATAAACCTATCTTTCTCCACACAACACCTCTACAGATGCAAAACATATTAAAGCCTTCATGATCTAGTTCCACTACTTGGAGAGCAGTCTCTTGTTTACCAGAGGTTAACTGAGAATGTCATCTCAGGCTCTCCTCCACATTTCAACAAAGAGCAAAATGACTGAAGTTCCTGCCTGCATGGAGTTTACAATGGACTATAAAGAACAGTCACTAAGGGATGTCAGCAGTGTTGCTGAGTCTGTTTCTATTGCATATGGATTTAGCTTCTGTAAAGGCAACTTACAGACATATTTGGTTCTAAAGTTAACACTTGCACACATTTTGAAAGCAGCCACTATTAAAGTGCTAAGTAATAAATAATGTATTCTATCATTTATTTGACATTAAGGAACACTTAATTTGAATAAAATCTTCAAGAATAAACACTTGGCACATTAATTGTGGTTAAGACATAAATATTAATACCCAAGAAAAATTTCAATGAGAAATACAGACTGTACCGTTAATTTAGTATCAAAAGCACAGCCAAGGTGTGTTTTTCTCTAAATCTGTAACACATTTACATCAAATTACCAGACATAATTTTGAAATTAATTAGAATTCAGAGCATCTGTTTGCTTGCTATTAACTAATGATTTAGAACCATCCAAAGGAATATGCACTTTGAAAAACACAATCAGTAGCATCACTTAGCTTGTAAAATTATTTTTATCAGTTACAACTTCTTTTGTGAATTTGATTCAAAAGTCACAAAAATGTGTTTAAGGTGTCTTTAGCTACTTTGCTGATGGCTGTTTTCAGAGAAATACTGAGTAGTAGTTCTAGGCTCTTACCTTTATGTTTAAGTTCATTTCATTGTTATCATCCATAAAGCTGCTTTTAACCATTATGTTTTCCAGCTTCAGATCTCTGTGTACTATATCTACCAGGAAAATAGACAAGCAAAGTGAATATCAGAAAGACAGCGAGGACAGAAACGGGATAGATAAATAAAGTATAAGTACAGTTCTTCCCTGTTCTGTTTTTACTTACACCCCTCTTCTCTACATCTCTATCAGAAGCTATTTTCTCATCTCTGTATGTTCCCTGTTGTGACAAACTAACATCTCAGCCTGGTGAATGTGCAAGAGGACCTGTCTGTGGCTACACATTCCCAGGAGAACAAAGGTGGACTAGGTCACAACACAAGGTTTTCTGTATCCTTGGGTCTCTAAACAGAGCTGTCAACATAAACATTTTAACACATTGTAACTTGGCTACATGTGCATACACTGTATCTCAGTGTGTTTTCTAAAATATAAGTATATATTTTCATACTGTTCATATGTTGAAATAAAATCCACGAATCTTGGGTCAGATTTGAGGTGAGATTTCTGTGTGCATTCAAACAATGCATCAAACACTCCTCTACAAATAACTGACTGAGTTCACATCCACAGCAAACACTTCCCAAGCTGTCGAAAGTGAAGTGTATAACTTCTAGGAAAATGCAGCCCAACTGGACCTGGACTGGCAGTTGTGCCTAATCACTTACAGTTCTCAGATATCCCCCAGGCTTTGCCTTTGGAATTCTTCCTGATTCTGGTACTCCACCTGTCTCTACTTACATAAATACCATACCACTTTAATTAACATATTTTGTGATGTTTTTATCCTCGGTAGGGGCAAATCTCCCTAATACCCCACATTTTTAATCTTCGCTATTCTCACCCTTTTTAGAATAATTTTAAAATCTCACCCCCCAAAAATGCTGTTAAGATTTTATAGACATACATTGAAAAAGAATGCATCACTTGACAAGGGGAACTGAGACAGGCCTGGAATTCGGCCTCTGCAAGCCTTTCCTCACCGGAATCTTTCTTCTGTCTGGGCCTGTATTCCTAGATCTAATTCTGACACATGGTTAAGCTCCCTGCACTTCGCACAACTCTCCATTAAGAAACCGCCACACTGGATTACAAGCTGCTTCTTTACTCCATCTCCTGCTAGCCTAAGCTACCTGAGGGGCAGGGGCCTTAATTTTTTTTCATCTTTGTAACTCTAGGACTCAGCACAATACAGTAGGTGCTAAGGAAACTGAGATCCCAAAGCCTGTCACTGACCTTTGTGGAACAAATACTTTTCACCTGTAAAATCAGAATGTTCTAAAGTCACACCTAAGAACATCAAAGAAAAGGGGAGCATGGGACAAAGTGACAGCAGTAACACTGGAGTCAGTAAAGCTATTAGAATAAGCAGTTCTTCTTAAACATTATTTTAAAGCATTGGCAAATTACTCCAAATGATATTTTTTTGCAAGTGTGGTCTTTTCTTTGACATTTTTTATTAATTATTTTTTACATTCCAATCCCAGTTCCTCCTCCCACTATCCCCCCATCCCCCCTCCCATCTGCTCCACAGAGAGGGTTAGGCCTCTCCTAGGAAGTCTACTAAGTCTGTCTCATCATCTTGAGGCAGGACCAAGGCACCTCCCCACCCCCCCATACCCCTGTGTCTAGGCTCTCCATATAGAATGGGATTCACTAAGACAGTTTGTGTATTAGAGTTAGCTCTTGGACCCACTGCCAGTGGCCTCATATATTGTTCTAGCCCCACCAAGGTCACCTATATTAAGGGAGTCTAGTTCAGTCTTATGCAGGTTCCCCATTTGTCAGACCCGAGTCAGTGATCTCTCACTAGCTCAGGTCCACTGATTCTGTGGGTTTCCCCATCATGGTCTTGACTCCTTTGTTCATATTTTTGCTCTTCCCTCACCTTGATTGTACTCCAGGAGCTCAGCCCATTGGTTAGTTGTGGATTTCTGCACCTGCTTCCATCTGTTTCTGGAAGAGGGTTCAAGTTTCTCTGGGTTATGGATTGTAGACTATAGGCTGGGTATCTTTTGCTTTGTGTCTGGTATCCACTTATGAGTGAGTACATACTATCTTTGTCTTTCTGGTTTTGGGTTAACTCACTCAAGAATTTTTTTCTAGTTCTGTCCATTTGCCTGTAAGTTTTAGGATGTCATTGTTTCTTATACCACGGAGTAGTACTCCATTGTATAAATATACTACATTTTCTTTATGCATTCTTCAGCTGAGGGGCATCTAAGCTGTTTCCAAGATCTGGCTATTATGAATAATATTGCTATGAACATAGTTGAAGAAATGTCCTTGTGGTATGAGTGTACATCCTTTGGGTATATGCCTAAGAGTGGAATTGCTGGGTCTTGATGTAGATCGATTCCCATTTTCCTGAGAAACTGCCATACTGATTTCCACAGCGGCTGTACAAGTTTGCAGTCCCACCAGCAGTGAAGGAATGTTCCCCATTTCTCCACATTCTCTCCAGCATAAGATGTCATTGGTATTTTTGATCTTAGCCATTCTGATCGGTGTAAGATGGAATTTCAGGGTGGTGTTGATTTGCATTTCCATGATGACTAAGAATATGGAACATTTACTTAAGTGTCTTTCTGCCATTTGAGATTGTTCTGTTGAGAATTCTCTGTTTAGATCTGTACCCCCTTTTTAATTGGATTATTTGGTAGTTTGGTGTCTTGTTTCCTGAGTTCTTTGTATATTTGCAGATCAGCCCTCTGTCAGATGTGGGGTTGGTGAACTCTTTTCCCATTTTGCAGGGAGTCTTGTTGACTGTGGTCTTTGATTTACAGAAGCTTCTCAGTTTCAGGAGGTCCCACTTATTAATTGTTGCTATTACTGTCTGTGCTACTGGTGTTCTATTTAGGAAGTGGTCTCCTGTATCTATGTGTTCAAATGTATTTCCCATTTTCTCATCTATGAGGTTCAGTGTGGATGGATTAACATTGATGTCTTCGATCCATTTGAACTTGAGTTTTGTGTATGGTGATAGATATGGATCTATTTGCATTCTACATTTTAACAGCCAGTTATACCAGCACCATTTGTTGAAGAAGCTTTCTTTTTCCATTTTATATTTTACTTTTTTGTCAAAAATTAAGTTTTCATAGGTATGTAGGTTGATATCGGGGTCTTCAATTGGATTCCATTGGTTCACATGTCTGTTTTTGTGCCATTATCAAGCTGTTTTCATTACTATAGCTCTGTAGTAGAGCTTGAAGTCAGGGATGGTGATGCCCCTAGATGATCCTTTATTGTACAGAATGGTTTTGGCTACCCTGTTTTTTTTTTTTTGTTTTTGTTTTTCCATATGAAGTTGAGTATTGTTCTTTCAAGGTCTGTGATGAATTGTGCTGAGATGGTGATAGGGATTACATTGAATCTGTAGATTACTTTTGGTAGGATTGTCATTTTTACTATGTTGATTCTACCTATCTAAGAGTATGGAAGATCTTTCCATTTTCTGATATCTTCTTTAATTTCTTTCTTTAAAGATTTGAAGTTCTTCTCATACAGGTCTTTCACTTGTTTGGTTAGAATTACCCCAAGATATTTTATGTTACTTGTGGCTATTGTAGAGGGTGACGTTTCTCTGATTTCCTTCTCAGCCCGTTTATCATCTGTACATAGGAGGGCTACTACTGATTTTTTAATTAATCTTTTATCCTACTACATTACTGAAGGTGTTTATCAGTTGTAAGAGTTCTCTGGTAGAATTTTTGGAATCACTTATGTAAACTATCATATCATCAGGGTTTAGGGGAGCATAATGTGAGTCACTTTGCACATGTGGCACCAGGTGTACACTGGAAACTTCTGTTCCTTCTGTTTTGAACCCAAACTGCTCTACAACTGAAGCGTACTATTTTATATGCTAGATCATGTACATGTTTAACTATATTAATATACAAATATTTTAGGAAAATTTACTTTATCAACTTTGATTTTGATCATATTAGCCACGTTTTAAACTTCTACAATAAGAATGATCATGACTGTTTGCTCTTCCATATACAGTGTAATTATATGCCTGCATTGTTACTAATTAAAATATCTATAAATACAATTAAAGGAAAAACATGGAAATGTACTTGTTATCCATTTACATTACCAAGTTCTACCAATGTGATTATGAGTCCTAAAGATCATCCCACTTAAACAACAGTGGTATCTTCATTTATGGAGATGGTGAGGTGCACAGACCTCATCTTACCTTTGTTATGGAGATATGCGATGGCTGATGCAAGACTTTGAATTATCAACCTTGTCTCATTCTCTGAGAAGTGCCCTTTTTTATCCAGAACTTCTTTGAGTTCTCCATCCTCACAAAGCTCCATCACAAGGTACATTTGCTGACATTACAGATTTAAAAGTCAGAATACGAGAAAGCTATGAGGTTATATGTGTTATATACCACAACTATGATCACAGTCTTAATTTATTCATGTGAAAATGTCTTATGTACTATATACAAGCTATTACACTGAATACAAGAGGAACAAATGATCAGGAGACATACTGCTGACCTCAGGAAGTTCAACAGAGTTAAAATATCATGTGATATGTACTAACAGTCCAATATTCCATGGGGCTGTGGAAAAGGATGCCTCTGCATAAAGAATGCCCATCAAGGAGAATTAAGACTGAATGTGTGAGCAGTAATTTCTGGCCAGCAAAGGTGGAGGAAAACCAGGTAGATCCGGTGGCCAGTGTACAAAGCCCCTAAACCCTGAACAAAACAGCTATTAAAATAACACACAGACCTCTGTTAACAGTACTGGAGGCTATAGGGTGGGAAAGAAGAAGCTGGCAAAGGGTGAAGCTAAGAGGAAATGTTGGAACAAGTTTGCAAAGAACCTTCGATAGCAAGATTCTCCAAGCCCCATATGAAACAAGGCATTGGAGTTGTTGAAGTCAGAGTCTTGAGGTAAAAGTTATATGGTATCAATTATGCATTTCTAGGTCAACACTACAACAGTAATGTACAGCAGGGCTCAGCAAAATTTTTCTATAAAGACCAAACCCAAGAGTAACCATTACGGTCTCTGTGGACAACATGGTCTCTTTTATAACAGCACAACACAGCAGCTGCCTTGAGATAAACCATAAGCAACACAATGCTATATTTACAGACTCAGAAATCTGAGTTTGGTGTAATTTTAAGGATATAAAACATTATTCTTTTACATTTTGTCATTTATTTGGAAATGTAGAGAACTTATCTCATGGGCCCCAAGGCTCATTTAAAGCAAATAACCCTTCTTAAGTGTGTCTAAAGGTCTGTCTCCAAGATGGTTCTATACTCTATCAAGTTTATAATATTAACCATCACAGGAGAAAAGAAAAAGATATGGAAAGTACCGAGGAAGAGACAGTGGAACTCATTGACCAAAAAGCAAGGATGAAGCGCCTCTTCTGTGTCTGCCACTTCTTTATTAAGATGTCTCAAGATATTCTACAGTAAGGTCACTTACTGAGTCGAAGATTTCTGTTCAACTAAAAGGCATACTTTTCCATAGGCACTGCCATCAGACACAATTACCCTCCATGTTTCCATTCTTACATATATTCTAGAGTTTTACTGTTCTGAAGATTTGGGGGTCTGATGCTGTTCTTGTAACAGCTGCTAATCCAATGTCTATGTTCAGTCAGTGTGATTAAAGCAGGGAGAGATGTGAGTATCTTTCTTCCTAGAGCCATGATTCTAATTCAATGAATTTCAGGCAGCTTTGTGATTTTAAAGTGTCTGAAACATCTGACAAATAAGTCTTTGAACTGGGCCATACTTTCTTCATTGACAGCGCTTCAGAATGGCTAGGAACATGGACTGGAAAGTGAACCATTTGGAAGGGAAAGTAGCATTATCAGTAGTTACAATGTAAATCGATGCCAATTTATAAGACACACTAAGGGCTGCACAGATGGCTATTGTTAAGAGCAATGGCTACTCTTTAAGAAAACCGGTTCCATTCCCAGCACCTAGCTCACAGGTATCTGTAACTCCAGTTCCAGGGGAATCCATTGCCCTCTTCTGGACTCTGAGGGTGCTGCATGTGGGTGGTACACAGACATATAAAATAAAATCCTTTTTAATGTTAAATGTGTGCTGATCAAAGTTATAGTGATAGCATGTATTATTCAAGTCTTACAATTCTTAGAAACAACTGTGCATATCTACAGCACAGGTGAGACGGTATCTATGGAATTAGGTTGCAGCACAGAGCCTGCAGAGAACAGCAGCAATGATGGGAGGGGACGAAGCTGCTCAAAACTGCCAAGGTCAAGTGTGCAGCCTACAGGTGTACACCTTGGAGAACTTGCAGGTCCAGAATCCTCTATGAATTCAGGAGACAGGAGTCCAGAAAAGCCAAGACAACTCAAGTTTCCAGGGAAGAATCAAAGAGGGAAAATCTGTACACACAGAGAGAGGGAGGGGAGAGAGAGAGACAGAGAGAGAGAGAGAGAGAGAGAGAGAGAGAGAGAGAGAGAGAGAGACAGAGAGAGATTCTTCCTCAAATCTTCAACACAGTGTTAATCAGTATGTGAATTGTCCCCAAACTGGTAACTAACCATGTGAAAGGTCAGAGGGGACAGTCACTGGTGCTCATGTAGGACAGGAATGTTGTGTATCCACCAGCCAGACAGAAAAATTCCATAATCCATGTAGCATTAAAGAGAGGATGAGTACTTAAAAGGCCACACCTCAAAACCCCTGGTTTACAAGGCCAGTGCTCTAACCACTGAGCTACCCCTCCAAGACCCCAACCCAGCGAGCCCAGCTTCAGGTGAGATTGGGTCTCCAGCGGGGACCGCCCGCCCATCACCCATCCCCCTCCATCTTCGGGGCCGCTCCCGGCTTCCAGAAGAGCCGCCCACACAGGAAAGACATCAGCCCCTCCAAGACCCCAACCCCAGGGAGTCCAGCTTCAGGAAAGAGATGAGCCCCTCCAAGACCCCAACCCCAGCGAGTCCAGCTTCAGCATCCCCAGCTTCAGCTGCAGGAAGGAAAGGAGACCAGTGGAGACGGAAAGACCCCACTAGCACCCACTGGAAGAAGAGATGGGAAGAAGACAGAATAAGATATCACTCAGCAATAGAAACACCAACATGACCCCACCAGAATCCAGGGATCCAACACCAGCAAGACCCGAAAAGCACTACATAGATGAAGAAGAGGAGACAGACCTTAAAAATTATTTCATAAAGATGATGGAGACCCTCAAAGAAGAAACGAGGAAATCCCTTAAAGAAATAGAAGAAAAAACAAACAAAAAATCCATGAAATGGGGGAAAAAATTCAAGAAATAAACAAATCTCTCAAAGAATCCAAAGAGCACCAAGAAAAAACAACCAAGAAAAGTAAGGAAACAGCTCAAATAGTTGAAGGATTGAAAGCTGAAATAGAAACAATAAAGAAAACACAGAATGAAGGGATGCTGGAAATAGAAAAGCTCGGTAAACGGTCTGGAACTACAGATGCAAGTATCACCAATAGAATACAAGAGATAGAAGAGAGAATCTCAGGTGTTGAAGACTCATTAGAGGATATAGAGTCGTCAACCAAAGAAAATCTCAAAACCAACAAATCTTTAACACAAAATATCCAGGAAATATGGGACACCGTGAAGAAGCCAAACCTGAGATTAATAGGTATAGAAGAAGGTGAAGAACTTCAACTTAAAGGTACAGAAAACATATTCAACAAAATCATAGAAGAAAACTTCCCTAACCTAAAGAAAGATATGCCTATGAAAGTACAAGAATCTTACAGAACACCAAATAGGCTTGACCAGAAAAAGAAGTCACCTTGCCATATAATAATCAAAACATCAAACCTACAGAGTAAAGAGAAAATATTAAGAGCAGCTAAAGAAAAAGGCCAAGTAACATACAAAGGCAGACCTATCCGAATTACACCTGACTTCTCAATGGAAATGATGAAAGCCAGAAGATCCTGGTCAGATGTCCTACAAACGCTAAGGGAACAAGGATGCCAGCCCAGACTACTATATCCAGCAAAGCTCTCAATTACCATAGATGGAGAAAACAAAATATTCCATGACAAAGCCAGATTTAAACAATACGTATCCATGAATCCAGCTCTACAGAAAATGCTAGAAGGAAAACCTAGAGCCAAGGAAGATAACTACATTCACAAAGACACAGGCAATATATAATCATACTTTACAAAACACCAAAAGAAAAAGGGAGGAGAAACTACACAAAATAACTTCACTAACAATAAATCAAGCGCAAACAAGGATCACCAATCAATGGTCATTAATATCCCTCAATGTCAACGGCCTCAACTTGCCTATAAAAAGACACAGACTAGCAGAATGAATACGAAGACAGAAACCCTTCCTTCTGCTGCATACAAGAAACACATCTCAACACCAAAGACAGACGTTATCTCAGAGTAAAGGGCTGGGAAAAGATCTTCCAATCAAACGGCCCCAAGAAACAAGCGGGCGTAGCAATCTAATATCTAACAAATTAGGCTTCAAATTAAAATCAATCAAAAGAGATGAAGAAGGGCACTTCATATTCATCAAAGGAAAAATACATCAAGACGAAGTCTCGATTTTAAACATCTACGCCCCAAATACAAAGGCACCTACATTCGTGAAAGTAACATTACTAAAGCTCAAAATGCACATAAAATCTCACACACTAATAGTAGGAGACTTCAACACTCCGCTCTCACCGCTAGACAGGACCTCCAGACAGAAACTTAACAAAGAAACAAAAGAATTAATAGAAGTTATGACCCAACTGGGTTTAACAGACATCTATAGAACACTCCACCCAAATACAAAGGGATATACCTTCTTCTCGGCACCACATGGAACCTTCTCTAAAATTGACCACATAATAGGAAACATAGCAAATCTCCACAGATACAAAAAAAATTGGAATAACCCCCTGCATCTTATCAGACCACCATGCATTAACATTAGAATTCAACAATAACACAAATCGCAGAAACCCTACAAACTCATGGAGATTGAACAATGCACAATTGCACCATCCCTGGGTAAAGGAACAAATAAAAAAGAAATTAAAGACTTCCTCGATTTCAATGAGAATGAAGACACAGCATACACAAACTTATGGGACACTTTGAAAGCAGTGCTGAGAGGAAAGTTTATAGCACTAAGGGCCCACATGAAAAAACTGGAGAACAGTCATACTAGAGAATTAATAGCACAGCTGAATGTTCTAGAACAAAAGAAGTAAACTCCCCCAGGAGGAGCAGACGCCAGGAAATAATCAAATTGAGGGCTGAAATCAATCAAGTAGAAACCAGGAAAACACTGAGAAGAATCAATGAAACAAAGAGTTGGTTCTT